CCTATGAAAAGCAGAATGCGCTTTACTCGCGGGTAATTTTACGTTGCATAGGCGTCGTGCGTCGATTAGGTAGAGAAGAGCGCAGATATTAACAGTAAACTGTAGTCAACGAATTTTATCCGCCGACAAGTGGCTCGACGGCACGCAACAAAGCGCCACTGCGTGTATTTGTATACGTGCCGCCGACCGCTGATTCCCCACTTTCGCGGGGACGGTGCTGCCACCTGTAGCCCCATCTCTCCGCAAATACTCCGACGCAACGTCGATGCACGCGCAGGCTCGGCACAGTGACGCCACGCTAGCAAAACACCAGACGCGACTGGCACGACCAGCGTCCGTCAGCGCGGCTTGGTGGCGACCAGCGCGAAATGTGACGTGCTGCATTTTGCACCGAAGATGTTACTTAGACAGCACCACGTCTGCCTTTCTTCGTAATGTAGGGACGCCGTGTCTGCTCGAACACGCATGCGTCAAAGCAACGCAGCGCAGCACGCCTGCGAGTATAGGGGATGCAGATTCACAATAAAAGTCACTGATCTTTACTAGGGTGATATCGGCGCCTGGCGTGGGATCGCCGGCGTGACGCGATAAAACAAACGCCGGCGCGCGCTCACGTCGAAGTGTGTTGGCTCCTTGAGTGTGGCGTGTATTAGTGTTCTTACATGACACACATGTCACGATTATTACGTTTGCACCAGTCACATACCTTCGGCATGCATTCACGCAACGTAATACCAAATTTTGACATATGTGAAGGTAGCGAAACGACGGTAATCGCATGATGAGCGTAGCATGTAGCCATGTTCTTACATGCCACCCATCTTATGATCATCATGTTTGCACCAGTCACATGCCCCGCCGCGGTGGTCTAGTGGCTAAGGTACTCGGCTGCTGACCCGCAGGTCACGGGATTGAATCCCAGCTGCGGCGGCTGCATTTCCGATGGAGGTGGAAATGTTGTAGGCCAGTGTGCTAAGATTTGGGTGCATGTTAAAGAACCCCAGACGCTCGAAATTTCCGGAGCCCTCCACTATGACGTCTCTCATAATCATATGTCAGTTTTGGGACGTTAAACCCCACATATCAATCAAACCAATCAATGCACCAGTCACATACCTTCGTCATCACTTCACGTCCCATAAATGCTGAATTTGTTTCACAAGAAGCTTGCGAAACAGCCACGAGCGCATCATTAACATGGCATATAGTCACGTTGTTACATGACACGCATCTCAAGATTATCATGTTTGCACCAGTCACGTACCTTAGTCATCCATTCACGTCCCGTAATACCGAATTCGGCATATCCAAAGCAAGTGAAACTGCCGCGAGAACATCATCAGTGTGGCATGTAGTCATGTTGTTACATGACACGCATGTCGTGATTTTGATGTTAGGGTCTGTCGATTGTGTTTGCTATGCAGTCCTTTCATACCATACCAGTTTGCGAACGAAACAACCGCATGTGAACGAAACAACCGCAAGAGCACCAAGACCATAACATGAAATCATGACATTTATGACATACATTTCATGAATTTCATGTTATGACTAGTTAGTTATGTTGGTCATACAGTCGTGTTATATCATACCTAGCTTGGTATCGATACCATTATCCAAACGGCGAGGAGAGCTAGAAGTTGTAGGCGGATAGATAGATAGATAGATAGATAGATAGATAGATGATAGATAGATAGATAGATACGATCAATGTCGCCGAAGTTCGCCAAGAATTGCTTCGCATTTAATAAATACGAAATAACAATTAAGCATTTCCAAACCATCTCTCACCTTGCAAGGCTGACGCAGGCAGCGTCTGCTAGCAAAAATAGTCACAGTTTCGCCAAAACAGAAGGAATGGATGCGATAGCAAGATATTTCAATGTTTTAAAAAGCAAGGCCAGCAAATTGCTATGTTATACGACGTGAGGCTGGTAATGAAATCATTTAGGTCCGATCTCGCGTAACTCTACAAAACGCTGGTGGAAGAGAACACGGCCACTCCAGGTAGACATCTGGCACCGTTTTTTCATGTTGAAAGCGCAGCATGTATAGGCTCCCGCCTGCTGGGGGGGCACAAGCCGCGCGCTGAGCGTTGCCGCGATAGCGCGGCTACCTTAAGCGCCCACCACTTTGTTTGCTGACGATATAACCGCGCCCGCAGACGACCTCAGCCGGAAAGGCGATGTTTGCTCTGCAGAAAGAGAAAGCGACTGCATCCTTCCCCCTATATATGTATACATACATATCCGTGAATGATGGTGACTCCAGCGGTGGCGGCGGTGACGACGACGACAAAAACCAGCCGAGCCTGTCCATGTAATTGCTTTCACAATAAAAACTGCTCGAGGTGCACAACCTTTCACTGGCCACCCCGTATTGGTAGGGACTGCCGCACATCAGCGTCTCACCACTCGTTGAAGGCAACGCTTCATTCAATAAATAAGGATAATAAGCACGAAATACCAATTAAGAATTCCCAAACCATACCCAATTACGCAACGTTGACGTTATATTCCCCGCACTTTGCGTCGTATTTTTTCGAGCTTCCCCTCGCGGGAAGATGCCGGCAGCGCTTTTTTTCCCGAATCACGTCTTCAATGAAGAACTTCCTGAGGACTTTATACTTCGGGTTGAGCGTACGGTGCTACCTGGGCACCACTTTAGCCCATGCTTTGAGTTGTTCAGGATCACAAGGAAGATTGAATACCTTTTCTTGGCTACCAGGGTACTCTGACCAGCAATTACTTGGACGTTTTCTTGCGTTACATTTCCTGCATGGCTGCTTACCACATTACAAGTTCGTTTTGCAAACGGGAATGATAGAACACCAGTTAGGAAAACTGTCTAAGGCACGCTAGCAACTAAAGTTGCTGCATGGCCTGTTTTTCGCGAGTGAAAAACGCGACACTCACCGAACGCCGGCGTTGCCACCACCCTCGCCTGTCGCTATTGCAACGGTACGTAATTTTTTTAAAGACGATGGTTTTTCTTGGGGACCTTCGACGAAAAAACTTTGGTCTGTCTGTCTGTACATTTTTCTGTTTGTCGCCCTTACCGATACCTTAAATGTCACCAAACGGCCAACCACATCCCTAGCGCCTACCAATAATGCTCAAGGTTTAGCGTTCATAATTGGGCGATTGTCAATTTAAAAGCAATTATCGCGCATACCTGAGGTGCCATAGCAACACGTCGATGTTTTGTGTATCCGCCTTTATACTAGAAGAGGCATACACAGGTAACTCTAAGGACTGTAGCGTTTATCGAACTGCGCTGACAGTGCAACGCTATGCTCAAAAAATGACTGCAGTTTCCGGAGTGGGAACACTGGTTAGCAGGCGGAGAATAAATGTTGAACTGCAATAAATTTTGTTAGTAATTTGCGACATGCGTGTGTGTCGACTAACGACTGCTTGCACGTGACACACGCGACGTAGTCGGCAAATTAGTTGGCGTCGCTTCCAAGCGCATCGCGAAGAACCGACAACGCTTTGGAACAATGAAGGTCATTCTGAATGTTGCCGATCCGCGTCACGTTGTTGTCGAACCAAAGTCGATCACACACCTTGCACCTGTGGCCGAAGCTCCGGTCGAGGAAGTCGCGCTTGAAGCGAGCGTTGGGCGTGGCGTACTGCTTGGCTCGCCACGCCGCTATCACGGCGCGCTCGCGCTCGGGGGCGGCATCGAGATCGGCCTTGTGGAGTCGACGCTTGCGCGCAGCTTCACCGTCCGGATTCTCTTGCCGATGCTTACGCCGCGCAGTGGCTTCGCGTTCTCGAAGCTGGGAATCTTCCGCTCGACGTTTACGTATCGCAGCTACTTCGCGTTGGGGATTCTCCGCTCAATGCTGATGTCTCGCAGCTGCTTCACGCTCTCGGAGCTGGGAATCTTCCGCACGACGCCGACGTTTGCGTTCCGCATCGCGAGCTCTTCTGAGCACAGCCTTGTACATGGACGAAGTGTCTTCGGAATTGCTTGCGGTTGCGCCAACACATTGGCTGATGCTATAGAAAGGGACGTCAGTAAGTGTGTTTGCGGATTCGTCAGCATACGTTTTCACCAGCGATATCGGATGTGCAGTGACCGCACAAACCAACCGACGAAGGGCGGCGCGCCCCGACACTCGGTTATTTATAGCGAGTGCCGGCCCCGGCCTGCGCATGCGTGCGTTAGCATACAGCTGGCGCACGTAAAACTAAAGGTCACGTGGCGCGCAGAAGGGAAAAGCGAGCGCAGCGCGCACTGTGTTGAGAGGAGGAAGGGATGCACAGACAGCTGGCGGAGGAGGAGGGGAGGCAGCGGACGGCGACGGTGCATGACTAGCCTCTAGTATAACATGCTCCGCATGTAAGAGGTGTTTCCAATGCTTTGCTACGACGTCACGGTGGTGGCACCTGGCCGTCGCTTTGCGTTCTACACCTTACCACCTCCGAGACTGGTGCGCATCTTTCCCCGCGGGTGCGCATGTCTTTGTTTTCGAAGATAACTGCCAGATGGCACTTTTGTCTAACGTGCCTCGATGCGCTCGTTCGCCTCCGCTACAAGCTCGAGGCACTCTAGCGCAGCGCCTTCGAAATACCATTCGCCGATTTTCTTGCGCAGAACATAAAATAATTGTTCACTCTCTCCAGACGCAAGACTATCATCTTCCGACAACATTTGCAGCGTAACATGCAGATTTGGGCTATTTTTTTATTTTGAAGTCACGACGGACGAATCGGCGCAGCGGGAGAGCGCGTGCAGGGCGCACGTGTTCTAAGGCCCCTAGATAAAACCAACTTGTTTTGTTTAGGGAATATGACGTGGTCAAGGTGGAAAGCAAAATGTGAAGAGGACTCAGAGAGCGTGCGCTGTTCATGATGACGATAATTTCTGGTAACCAGGGCAGTTTGCCGAGCTTGGTATTGCTGTCGAAACGTTTTTTGTAGAACTACGGCTGGAAGTCATTGTAGTACACTGATGTGCAGCTTATATGTAAGTGAATTAATACTCTCACGATCTTGTTAATACTGTATTTCCTTTTCAACCAACACACTATATTTCGTCATCATCGCACTCATAAGATCAAACATGATTCCCCATATTGTCTTATTTAGCTCCACCCAAGCACTTTTTGACAGTGTGGCATTTTTTTCAAACATGTGAAGTTCCTGGAAAGAGGGTATTGTAGTCGCAACTGGCACAAAGTCTGAAGGAGTTGTAGCTGTGTAACGATCTGTAACAAAGAAAACATAATTTTAAAATAACTTCTTGTTATACCATAGCGGCCTTTAATTGTCATAATCTTCTTGCCGCACATAGAAGTGAGGCCTCAAATCAAACTGAAATACATGAATCAAGATTCCCAGTTGCCAGATTCTAGCGAAATACCAAGTATTCATCACCGAAGAAACCCGAATAACCCTAAAAGTAACAAAAAATATTGGTGAAATTTCATGATTTTTTTTTCTAGTCTTGAAATGACTTACAACTATAATAAAAATTGCCGCTCAAGTACGAAGGGGTGCTGAAAAATTCATATGAGGCATTTTGTTGCGAAAATATGCGCAACTATGAATCAAAGCACGTCTTTACTTTTTAACACTGTGTCCAGGGTAAATTTCATTCCAGTGCAGGATAGACGTTACTTGTCGATTCAGCCAATGTATTGCTAACTACAAAACTTAATTATTGAAAATCATCGACAAACGCGCTATTGGTGACTTCGATGAGCGATGGAAAAGAAAGAAACGCCGCGAAGGCTGAACCTGGTTGATTATATCGAAAAAAAAAGAAGGGGGATAGCAAAAAAAGTTACAGAGGAGGAAGCACAGTTGTCATGGTAGTAGGTGACGTAACAGTTCCGTGTTTGATATCACAGCGGTGAATGAGCCCGCCATGCTTGAGCAGACGCAACAGCACTTTTGTTTCATTTTGAAATTGAATCCGTTAGTCCCATGGTCGCGATGTATTCCCGATGGTGAAAAAGCTTCCGTCCAGGTGTTTAAAGCATTACAAAGATGAAGCCTCTCGTTTGCTTAAATTGGGCGAACGGTCGTTTCTTTGACAGAACAGTCGTCGCACTCAGCGTTGTTGGCCATCCCAATTTTGAAGGGACCCTGCGACAATTTTCAACAATGGTCAGAAAACACTGACGATTGGTAGTCGAGGCTCGGGAAAAAACGGGGGTCATTTGTTAGAGCGCAGAACACGGCCTGGAAATAACAATAACATCACAAAGTCTCATAAAACATGATTTCTCTTCTCTCGAAAAAGGACGATACAAGATCAAAAAATCGCTCGTCACAGGCATTGTGTCTGCCATTAGTCGATTTGTAAACGGCGCATTTGGTCGTTACCCTGGCCACCGCGGGTCATTGCGACATGTCCACGCGAGCGTGTGCCACCACACTGGAAAGCCCCATATTCTATAAAAAAATAAAAAAAGTGCTCAAGGCCACGAGGTACGCATGACGCATTTTCTTTACCTGCTTCAACTCGCCCTGCTTTGCTTCCAGTGGTTTCGTGGAGACGCGACAAGAGAAAATGTAATTGCAGCGTGCGATAAATATTTGCAATTCCGCTCGTACACTGTATGGATTCCAAAAAAAATGTTTGCGGTGGTGATTTTGTGAGGAGCTGAGCTCCTTTAGCGAATCAATTTCATGGCTACTTGAAAAGGAGTTGCTGGGCCTCTATAAACCAGTAAGTGTTAGTGGATTCAACTCACACACGCAGGTGACAGAACACTATCTTTCTCCCGAGGACCATAATAAAGCAAGAACAGACATTAGTGATTTAATTACGAGAGTGCTGAAAAATTGGCATCGTCGGCATTGACCTGATGAATGCAAAGAACAAACGTTAGAGTCCAGGAGGGAATTGAACTCCAGCATTGTGCGTGGTAATCACGTATTCAAGCCACGCCAGGTCTCGGAAGTGCTTTTCGAACAGGCCTTAATGTTCTTGAAACGTTCGTTGTCGCTGCAGTGCTGGCTATCTAATTTTACAAACGTTACATATCTACTTCTTCGACATAGACATTACATCATGCTAACGTCCTTGGGGTTAAGCGTCATCAACTAAATCTCCTTTATCTAGCAGTGTCCAGGTTCGCCGTCTTCGCTGGCACAAGCGTTATCATATATCAGCTTACCGATGCTTCTGGTGCTAATGCCCTTGTTGCTGTTAGCATCGTTACGCAAATGTAAACGACTGATTCTAGAAAACATATGCGGCTGTTCCACATATGTTTCTGCATGCAACATTTCTACATATTGTTAGCGTTATTTCGTAACGTTTTACTCGATAAAAAAATTACAACACAGTTACGTTCCGTCCGCTTGCTTTGCATAACATCGATTGTCAAGATACCTGGGATCTGCCGAATTATAAATTTTTGTTATTTCTTGAATCAATTGATTAAAGAGTCTATAAAACAGGACGCATATGCAGTTAAACTTCCCGTCACTCATTTTCTCATCGCCTTTTCTCTTCTTTTTTTTTTCGCACAACACAATTAAGTAGAATCCGTGCGAAGAAACGAAATCAGTAAAGCACTTACCAGTTGGCTTTTCTGTAAATTTCATGTAAATTTGTAGGTGAGCAGGATTGTGTGGAAGCTCCCATTTCTTTATAGTGATGGTGAGATTGAAGATCCCGTACCCTAACACAGTATGATTGACTTCTCCTTTGTAAATGGCATGCCAGTCCAGTATAGAAATGTAACAAGATATAGCATCATCCATTCTGTATTCACAATTATTTGGTGACCCGTCGCTTTTTTCAGCGTCGCTTTTCTGCAATAATTTTCCGTTTGTAAGGTTAAATCCAAAAGTTTCAGGGGGCTTGTCATTGGAATTCTCCGAGACATTAAGAAAGAACTGTCTTCTGGGCAGTTGGAGTTCTGCTGATCTAGAAGATAGATGATTGAAGAGATATTCCAGGCCAGTCATGTTTTCCGACAAATCTGAAAGCAGTTATTATATCTATAGGTCCCTCAGGTCTCTCAGCGTCACAACGCGCTCCCAGTATAGTAGGCTGGCTTTAAATGTGTTATGAGCGTTGATGCGTAAAGCTGATAGCGAATTTTTTTCTATTGCATAAAACCATAACAAAAATTGAGCATCAGTACCACTGGCTATAATAGATACTTCTGGCAAAGTGATTTTATTTAAATATTCATTGCAGATATTGAAGTCAACTTTTGACTGCCACTCATCGCCGGAACGACATTCGTAGGCTAAAATGGCAATTAGCATGGTTTCTTTGTTTTAATTTGTAACTTAATATTTCGAGCTCTTAATTTCTTTGAGTGCGTATGACCAGTGAAGTTCTTTACCACAACAGACGGAAGTTACACGCAATGTAGTACCATAGCAAATCGCACAATGGCAACTCAACGCAAAACATCCATTCAGAAAGTCCCTTCAGATTTCAGGCTATGGTTCTTAGACGATTTTTATTTTAGCAGCATGAGTCTTTCTGCTGCGACATGCTGTAGTTTTCTAGCGCATGAAAAAACACGGACAGGGAAAGATGGACCGTTTTTCTTGCTTGTGCTCAGCGTCTCGTTAACAATTTTCATAAACGTAGTCATATGCAATCTAGTTGTAAAGTGAAGTTTCTCATGACGCCACTGGGTAAAAATGATACCTTCTTTTTTGAAAGCAGCTCAAAATTATTACGTATTCGCGACTGTGAGAAACAAAGTACATGTAATAACTTCCATAAAATATTGCTTTTCTAGGAAGCAAGTAATGGTACAAGTTTATGGATATATTTGTTTTACCTCAATTCTGTCCCTTTTCTCTAAGGTATGTAATGATGCAGACGTCGTGTCAATTAGGTAATTGCTTAATACACGTGCTCATGGTGTTTGTACGGCCAAGTACGTTACGTGTGTTCTTTGTGTTTGAGCAGCCCGTTAAATGTCCAGCTGTGAACATTGTTAGTTCGTATTCAATCTTCATGACTGGCTGTACTCACAACAAAAATAACAAAACATAGACGTTGAATCACCACCTATGCACGTGGCACCGTTCAGTACAAAATTACATGTGGTGAAATATAATAGAGTGAAGAAGTAGATCGGGCTAGGTGTGCACATTCATTAAAACTACACACAACCAGCAACAGCGACAACCAGCAACAGCGACAGTAGACTCACACTGTATATGGCCCCGTTCAACGGTAGAGACAAAATAATCCAACTGTATTTTTTACACTTGCTAGATAATCCAAAGGAAACCAAGCAGATGAAAAACGTGCACTGTCTACCACTTCCTTGAGATAGCCACGCAGCGTCCCGGGCCTGCTATCAGTAGTGACAGCTTCTGGTGAGGCACTGTTTAACCTGAGTTGGCATACTGTACGCTAAAAATGGATCACTGACGTCACGAGAAAACAAAAATCTATTTAGTAATCGTCTAACAAAAAGGTGCGCCAAACCATGACCCCCGTCTTTCACGTGCTTAACATTTTGGTCCAGCTGCACCATTCTCAGTGTGAGCCCCATATAAAATTTTCGAACACACTATGCAATCTCTGCACATTCATTCTTGAACAATGCAAAAGCTGCATCACATACCAGAGCTTTGTTACAAAAAAACATGTAACATACATGTGCCCTAGCAAAGACACACAGGTTCATGCTTTAACATTTGTCGACTTTTTTCCTTTCTCTCTTTTGTTTAACACCACCAATACTCTTCCGTCCACCTTTGTTCCCAGGATGGCGAAGACGATCTTGGTCTGTGATCAACCGCAAGAGCTAACTTTGCTTACTCCTAGCCGCCAACCCTCTGACGTGAAGCCTGGCTATACTGAATGACGGAGTCGGTGCCATGGTGACTTATTCGCTAAAAGAAGTAGACCCGGAGCGTGGCGCTTACTTTTGGTGACCAGCCTTCAGCTAGCCGCCCCGAGGGCTGATGTTCCTGCTTGCCGGCGTTCTTTTCTTTCACCGTGTCCACTCATCTCCAGTCACTTGAGTTCTTGGGCTCGGGTTTGAGGTTCAGCCGCATCTCTTGTGGTGGATGTGCAGGCGGTTCCTCGCTCGCTGTAGATAGGCAAACCCTTGAGAGGCTTCTCGGTCGCGTCGCGTGAACGCTTAAGCGTGGCCTTGGGGACACACATATTGTCCCTGCTTTCTGATGTCTCGCCCAGAGGCTCTTCTGCATTGTCTTCCTCCTCGGCTGTCGCTGCCTTCTCGACATTTACAAGCTCAGTTGCATTCTCGGCGGGCGTGCATTCTCGGCGGGCGTGAGCTGTGCTTTGGCGGCGCAAGCACCGCATCGACCGAACAGACACCGCTACCAAGCCCAGCTCCCTGTCCACGTGGATTTTGTGTGTGATGTCTCTGACCTGAAGACCGGTCTTCAACATTCGCTGGACTGTCTGGGTGGTCGAGCACTTCTCAGCCATGCTCGGGGCGCGCCTGCGCTCGCGGCTCACTTCCACCACCTTGTCAATTGCTGTCAGCGAAGCCCGCACATCATCTTCACTCACCGTGCAGCAGTCAGTGTAGCCTGAGCTTCACTTGCTGATCCTGCGGATCGATGACGACGCAGCGTCACCCCTTCACCTGAAGCTCCTTCAAGGCGACTAGGTGTCTAGAGTGTACCGCGTCGTTAGCGGCCAAAAGTGGTTTAACTGATACGCGCTGAGGTGAACCACATCAGGCAGCAGGTCCGTCGACGTCAACGCGTTCCTAAAATCTTCAACCCTTTAAGGCCTGGCTCTGATATCCCCGTCTAAAAACAGCGTGGTAATTACAAGCTTTCCTTTTGGCAATTGACGAGAGTTGCATGGTGGGCTTGTTGGTGAAGAATTTGAAAGAATTTTTTTGTAGCGCGGGGTGAAATACGAAAACAGGAAGAGATAGACGTACGCGGAGGATAGAGTGCTACTAGAAATAAAATGTTTATTTTCGAACTCAGACAGCTTTTAGTTCACAATTGTCAGGCAGACAGATAAGCACGTGGGATCACCCAGATATATATGCGTGATAAGGGTTATCTACCAAAAAAACATAACAGATTAACCAAGCATAACAGTGTACGCAGAAAACCAAGCTCCCTAGGTGAAAATGCAATCGAGGGCTTGCTGATACAAACATTGCCAAGAGCGTCAGTAAGTACGGCGTCCACAATCAAACTAGCCGACCCCTCTTTAGGCCGACCAACAATGATGGTATTCTACAACAAAAGCCGTCAGCCACATGCATGAACGTGAGAACCTTCCAGCGGCAGTTTATTTTATTCGTAACTGTACTCTCTCAGTCGCTCATTCACACACTGGTTTGGCCGACATGTTTTCCACGAGAATAAAATAAGATATATAACAAACAATATGCACTCAACAAATTTGTGTGTATGATTTTTTTGTGGAAACCATATTTTTCCCTCGAGAAGAATTTGTCACGACGCACGATTTTCCAAGATTATCCGGCACTGAAAATAACACCCTAATATTTTCCCCAAGCGCCACCTTCTTTAGGTTATGTGACAGCTGATGAATATCAGAAATTCTGGATGTGCGTCTAGTTTCTGCCGATACATCTTCATGGACATTCGATTGCCTTGAACTTCCTTGAATTCTTTTGAACTCTTTTTGAGCAACAGAAACTAAAACGTGGTTAAATCGTTGCATTCGTGAGATTTTATTATGGATGCTATGCTTTGTTAGGTGCACACATGGCTCGTTTGATGCGTTCTTGAGGCGTATTGTCATGATATATGTCTTGGTTAGTTTGGAATGACCCAAATGAAATGGGAGTAAATCTTTCGGAGCACGTGAATCGTAACACCAACAGAGCCAGTTACCAGAACTATGAAGTCACACATCTAAAAACCCCATTCGTTCATCACTAGGCCGTTCCCCGCTCGCATATGACTGTTCTCGTTCCATTATTTTCTTAATAGATATGTCGATGAGCCCTCATCCCACATTGACCTTGGCTTGCTCAGGGGCTATGTCTATCGTTTCCCGAAATCCATTCATCAGCCTTGTGATGGATGGATGGCGCAAGGCCTCCTTCTGTTACGCAGTACCAGATTTCCCCTCCCCGCGCTTTGAAATAGAGGGAAGGGTGAAGGCGGCTAGAAGAGAGTCCCCGACATCAATACATCTCTGGATTCTGGGGACCAATCTCATTGAAAATGACCTGTATATTGTCATAAGGTTGTGACGTGAACGAAGAGAGTGGACTCCACGTCAAAAAAGAAACTGTTTATTCGGGCAAAACTTGTGGCCATGCAAAAGGAAAGTAAGACACTATCAGTCACAGCGTTGAACAGAGCGTCGTCCGTCGATCAACTAACAAGCGGTGAAGCCCATCGGCATTTATACACATGGCGTCGAACATTCTAGCGTTATCGCTAGCGGTGACGTAAGTTCCAGAATAATCTGAAAGGTTCACGAAGTGGGCGTAACCTTAACAAAACAATCTACAATAGCCTTGAAGCTTGAAGAAGAACGGCTATTTGGGCTAGTTGGTTGGAATTCATGGTAATAAGGGCTGCAGCGCGAGCACGAAGGTGCTAGAAGAAACGTGAAACGAAAGGCGAGGCAAGGAAATCAAAGAGGACAACACGAGCTCTGACTACCAACTGAATTTTATTGTTTGCAGCACACATGATAATATAAACAACAGGCAACCTTTTAACTGCAAACGTGAGCAACGTGACATATTCTGGGAAAGGGTCTGATAAAAATAAGGTACAATGATAAAATGGCTAACCTTTGTCTAAAAGCCCGAACTCTTTGTCATGCGAGGCCACCGAAGGTCGGCTCACGCATCCGTCACCATGTTTTCTAATACAATACGCCTCAGCTATTTCACGGGTTAATTTGTCCATGTGGCGTACCACCACACTCACGCCCGGAAATCGAGGCTGGCACCCGCAGCTTTTACAGTGCGGAACGAGGTTTGAACTAATTCTTTTCAATACATACTTCATATGCTTTCCTAACCTTTTATTAATGCACCACCCAGTTTGACCAGATAACAACGACCGCACGTTAAAGGAAGCATGTGTACAACACCAACTGCGCAATCTATAAATTTATTTATGTGTTTTACGGCAGATGTCCAACTTTTTTTGGCGACTCCACTTAGGGGCTCATCCGTCATTCTGCAAATCTGGCTTACTTTGCACGGGGATGATAAAACTACATACAAACCATATCTCGAGCCTACCTTCTTCAAACCCTGAGATATATTGTGGAAGTATGGGATGACTGCAACTATTTTTCGCTGAAAAACTCGTAGATTTAGCACAAACCGCGTTCAGATATATGGACAACTATTTAATTCTTCTGCTGCCTTCCGTAACGAATAGGAAAAAACCCGACTGAACTTGTATTGAGTGCTTTTAAAACGCATGGAGGTGGGCTATACTTCACTTTCGAAGTTCCCCAACAGGGATCACTGAGGTTCTTAGATATTATTATTACATTGTTTCCAAATCACGTATGCCGGGAATACCAACCTCGAAGAGTTAAACCCTTGTTAAGCTATGCTTCCTGCCACATAAAACTGGTCAAGAGAACTATTTCTTCGTCGTTTGTAAGTGCTGGCTTATCTAAGTCATGCCCACACAAGATGACTGATAGTGTAACAATGCAGATTAACAGACTTCTGTCAGTGGGATTTCCAAAATCTGTAATATCTTCAGTGTGCGAAACTTTGTTGCAGAAAATCAAACAAAAACAAGAAAAGGCAGGACGCAATAAACAGGGAAAAGAGTTGCAGTCATCCCATACTTCCACAATATATCTCATGGTCTGAAGAAGGTAGGCTCGAGATATGGTGTGGATGTAGTTTTATCAGCCCCGTGCAAAATAAGCCAGATTTGCAGAATGACGGATGAGCGCCTCAGTGGAATCGCCAAAAAGAGTTGCACAAGTGCCGTAAAACACATAAATTAACTTATAGATTGCGCAGTTGGTGTTGCATACATGCTTACTTTAACGTGTGATCGTTGTTATCTGGCCAAACTGGGCGGTGCATTAATAAAAGGTTAGCAGAGCATTGAATGATGTATTGAAAGGAATTAGTTCAAACCTCGTTCTGCACTGTAAAAGCTGCGGATGCCAGCCTCGATTTCCGGGCGTGAGTGTGGTGGTACGCCACATGGACAAATTAACCCGTGAAATAGCTGAGGCATATTATAGTAGAAAACATGGTGACGGATGCGTGAGCCGACCTTCGGTAGCCTTGCATGACAAAGAGTTCGCGCTTTTAGATAAAGGTTAGCCATTTTATCATTGTACCTTATTTTTATCAGACCCTTTCCCAGAATATGTCGCGTTGCTCACGTTTGCTGTTAAAAGGTTCCCTGTTGTATATGTTATCATGTGTGCTGCAAAAAATAAAATTCAGTTGGTAGTCAGAGCTCGTGTTGTCCTCTTTGCTTTCCTTGCCTCGCCTTTCGTTTCACGTTTGTTCTAGCACCTTCGTGCTCGCGCTTCAGCCCTTATTACCATGAGCCTCGAAGCTTCTCAAACACCATAGGCGCGGTTTGCGCTGAACGTAGTGTAAAAGAGTGATAACAAAACTTGAGGAAAAGAACGTAGCAATATGAAGTATCGCAAAGGCTTTTTTTGAATTGACAACATTTCCGACACTGTGGTCTTCATGTTTAGACTTCACGTTTAGAATCCCACATGCTTTGTTATGGTTAAACCGGAATCTTTGTATACATAGCTTTCGGAACACAAACACAGTGGTTAGTAGTAGCGCAGATTATTGGTCTAGGTGGACGTGATTCGTGTTTAAACTACATATTAGGCATGCCTACAATTATCGACACTAAAAGGAAAGACGCTGAAAAGTGTTAGCGAACGTTTCCGTATTGTGTCCGTGTTTGTGTGCGCGCCTAATCCTGTCTAAACGCCTTTCAGTATTTTGGTTGATAGGTTCATAATACAGCATATCATTCATTTCTATGCTGCACACGTAAGGAAGGATCCTACAACAGTGTAGCCGCAACAATGGAGCCACTTAAAGTTCTGACAGAGGTAGCGCTAACGACTGGTATGGCTGTGGAGCGTACAACGGACTCTCATCTGAATCCCGAAAGCAGTCCCTCTGTGGCGATCTGGCTTTTTTATTTGCTGCGAGGGAACCTTCTTTTGTGTTTTCTCGCTGGCAAAAGCTAGCGCAATGTAGCTTCCCTTGTGTACTGTGTAACGTCGCTACTGTATATATACGGGACAGTATCACTAAAACTCGGTTACATAAAACGGTCTTTTTTGCACTCTATGGCACGTATATGAAATGACCCTCAGTCACCGCTACAACTCTTGGACGCAATAATTACACGTAACATAAGTAAGTGAAATGAACCGTTTATGAGGAATGACAAGTTGCAACGAAACAACATTCCTCTGTGTGTTCGTATGCAAAAGTGACAAACTCATTTGGCGATTTGCACTTATATACACTGATACAATCCAACCACTTACCATTCGCAGCAGCAAGTTCCACAGCCATGGGTAATGACAAACTTATGAGCAGTAATATGGTATTCAGCTTCTTCAGCGATCTTGGATAATTTCGTAAAATAATACATGTACACCCATACTTCGGGTTCATGGCTTTCAAAAGTGTCAGACTTATTTGGTGCTGCCCGCCTGTTTGAGTGTTTCAGTAGGTGTTTTCACCTTCGTGTTTCCTATGAGTGATAAACAAATTTAGCATTGACAATGTGTTAATGGAAGTATGCAAAGCTCCCAAAATCTGTGCACATGGTGATCTTGGTAAACAAGTACTGATAAATTGGCACAACCCGTGTTCGTGTGAAACTGCACACTATAGACCATCAGTGGCTATGCACTTGAATATACCCACATTTCGTGCTAATATATTATGATCAAGGGGCTCATGGGCATTAAGAACTACATGCTGAGTAGTACAACACTGCACAATTCATAGCTTAAGCACAACACGTAACTATGAAACCTGCGCTGGTGGAAACTACAGACTAAGTTATTAATAGATTCGGCTGCGCTCTGAAATAGGCTAATCACATAAAAGCTAGGGTGAAATGAGGATACATCATATACACGCGGGGGCGAGAACATGGTGGTGGGAATCACCTACCTCCCTTCGCGGAATGTGTTGGTGTAACAAGTTCATTTGAAAATCCCTATTTCCTGCAGTGAAACTTTTCTTTGCAAATCATATATTGAAAGTAAGTATGGGTGTGCGGCTGAGTTAACACTTCACTTGAAAGCAGTCAGTGAATTTATTTGAAATGCGAATTCTCGCCATTATTCACGGTGGTGTGCCAACATATTGTCAGCTGTAAAAAATGATGCAGGGCTCTTTCAGAAAACCAGGTTTATTGGAGTGAACTTGTGCTCTGTAATAAAGTCCAGTGAAGTGAAACCTGCGAGAAAGGAGCCAAGAAAGTGACTTGAACTAGCGGGAAAGAAAACCGTGGTGTTATTCCCGCAGGCATTCTATGCCTCAGCGTTATTAATTCTGGGACCATCGAATTAGAGTGGTAACACAGCGCTTGACCACAGGCCAAAGCCTTTTCCTTATCAAATTAGATAGCTTGCGCGACTTACGAAGGTGACGAAATGAAATGCTCATCGCATCGAAAATATATACAGGAACTCCGGGCACTACCAGACGCAGGTAACTAAATATACAAAAGAACAAATCGCGGAGGCTCTTACCACTGAACGACGGTACAATGTTATGAGTATCTCCTTTGAAATCGATCGGTAACCCTCGTGTCTCCAAGCTCGACAAATGGAAGGGGAAAACATTTCATTTTTTAAAGTTGGCCTAAGGTCATGCTAACTCAAAACAATTCTGTGGCACAACTATTGAGCGCAAGAAAAGACGTTACACAGAAGGAAGCTATATACGTGACAAGTATTTCTGGTTTGACCGAAACAGAGCATTAAACTTGTCATTTGCGCTTGCAAGAATATTCGCAATGTGTTTATAAATCATTTGCTGATGTTTCTAGCCAATCAAGTAGGGTTAGGTTTTTTGCACTAGTGCTCGAAATCTGTCTACATTGTTGATCATTATGCATTTACTTTTTAATTCTTGCTGGTTCGTTTTCAGGGCCTCCAATTTTATCTCGGAGCTAGTAAAGAAGTGTTTGCCATTCATATCTGCATATCAGGCTTTTAGCAGTGCCCAGAATAGCAAGATCAAAAAGTGGAGTAAAGTTGGGCTTCCCCTTCAAGAGCAAAGAGTGATAGCGCCATCGGGCCACGTTTGCATCACCTGCTCAATAGTTAACCCGGTGTCGCATTTTAGTGGACACCTCAAACGTGCTGGAAGGAAAGACGTATAGCGTCAGCCGTTTCAAACTGTTCAGGATTGCCTCCTGTAATAAATGTAGTAACTGTAGCGGTTTAGCGTCCCGAACCCTCGATATGCTCCGAATGTTTACATCTCCTGGGAAAGACGTCGTTCAGTGGTGATGATTCCGGAATCACGCGAAGAATATGCATGTCGGTTTGGTCTTTTCTCCTCTTCAACAACGTTGGAGGTCGTGACGACTTTGCTTGCCATTAGCTTGATTGAAGTGCCAACGACACCAAAAAATGGGTGGTAATTACAGACTTTCTGGCGGCACTTGTATGTGTGGAAAATGTCACTTTAAGACACATTGATTTGCGTATAGGGCACGCTACAATAAAGGAGCTTTCAGAAGCTACGAAGTCGAATCATCAGGTGGCATTTCAGAGGATTCTCAGTCACTGAGAATCAAGGGAAATGAAATGGCAGATGATTTGGCAAAAACCGCTCATTTTTCTATGCATACCCACTTCATTCCTGTATCTCAATACAATGTTATTACAATTTTAGGAACAAAGAAACGTGAATCATGCTTGTCTGGCTGGTTCACAGACAAAACAAGGTAATCGATCCTATATTTTGTTTATCCTAATCTTGAATGCCAATTAGACTGTCATCTCTCAAGGCGTATCGACACTCTCATACGTCACCTAAGTCTCGCAACTGCTTACAACAAAGCACTTCCTACATCGTTTTCAACGTGCAACATAGTCAGCATGTTAATGTGGTCACGACGACGATGATATCAATTATCTCTTGCTCAGTTGTCCGAAGCACGCCACACACTGAAGGCGAGTCGAACAGGAAGTCGATAGACGCTACATCTCCAGCGAACGTTTGCAGTGGATAAAGTACTAGACCCATGGCCATCTAAAAGAAATGTACAAGCAGTGAAGGTGCTGCGACGCTCTTTCGAAGAAACAAAGATTTGTGAGCGTTACTGAGCAGACTATAGCAATAAGTGAGCGTGGTGGCTGTACGTGTTTGTTTTGCCCATATGAGAACTTGATCACTCAACTAAGTAGGACTTTATATATGCACATAGTCTATTTTCTTTTTTTATATTATTTATTTATACCATTCAAGCGGTAAGGAGTAGTCCTTGCCAAGTAACGGTGACAACTGCTTCGTTTATTCTCTATTTCAATAGAAAACACTTCCTGGGGCTATTTAACTTGTTCCTGAGTCTAAGAGCACAGGTCTCCAAGATTTTCGCCTCCGTCGAAAAATGCGGCCATGGTGCGTGGCCGCTGCTGACTTTCGGGTCAACATTAGAGCACGATAACGAGAGACCACCACGGCGGCCCAGTTGCTAAGTGCCCACATGCGCAGCAGTGCACTTTCTTGATGTTGTTGCTTATAAAATGATTATTTATGCTTGAATCGTTTGTGAAGAGTGGCCTTTGAGCCTTCAACTTTTTGGGCGATTCCCGTGTTTTTTACGCCTGGTGTGATTTCACGCTTGTGCCACGCAGTATTACACAGTTCTAGGACACTTCACGCACTACACGGCGTTTTCATGGCGCTTTCTTTCTAAACAAACTTAAGTAACATCTTCAGAGAACAAAACAAAAGCAAAAATGGGGTGCAGCAATCTTGTGGTGAGAAATTTTGCGAAGTGTACTTGTCTTTTTCAAAGCTGAAACTGATTTACTAACTGTTTCTGCGTCGTACCCTCTCCACTAACCTAAACAAAGGAGGTGGAGAGGGCAAGTGAGGTTGGAGCTGGGCCACTCTGAGAGCTCACCGGTACGATTCGGGCAAGGGAAAAAGGAAGAAAGTATATCATAAAAAAAGGGGAAGGGCGTCCACGTTTGGTTGAAATATGGTTGTCAGAAGAACGTAATACCGTCGTTTAAGCGCGCGAATAAACACAAATGAACAGAACACAAGCGCTTTCTCGCAACTAAAAAATTTATTGAAAGGAGAAAAATATATAAGCAGGCAATAAAAATTAACGCGTGCGTGTGAAGGCAAATAGTACAACCGTGGCAACTTGATAACACTGAGTAAAGCAAAAACAGAAAGATTAGCGAGAAAAATAACCTACAAAAACGAACTCTTTATCGTGCAGCAACACCGAAGCTTGGCTGACGCAATTTTATACTCTTCCTATTTAAACTTTTATACTTATTTATAATATTATACTTGTTCTTATGTAAAAATCTTCTGCCAGCTTGCGAAGTAAACGGTTGTTAAATTGAGAAAACAATTCAGTATCCCGAAAAATATATCTTTTTCTCTTTTTAATAAATCTTTTAGTTGCGGGAAAGCACTTGTACTCTGTTCCTTTGTGTATCTTCATGCGCTTAAACGACAGTTATACTATGCATATGCAACTAGCCCAACTTCGATTCTGTTGTCAAAAGAAAGTACTACTATTACTACTTTCTGTTATATATATATATATATATATATATATATATATATATATATATAGATTACTGTCATATTAGTACGTTATAGGCCAACAAAAGCAGAATAAAACATAAGATGTGGAGAAACTTGTTTCAAACACTTCCCACACGTGACTATGTGTGCGCAGGGAACGTTAACCTCTTTCTATTCTTCTCCTCCCCTTTACCCCTCCCTAAACGTAGGGCGAAAAACCCGGTACAACCTGATCAACTTTCCTGCATTTCATTTTCCCCTCTTTCTCTCTCTATAGATCATCAGAAGTGTAATTTATTCTACTGTACTATGTTTTTTTTAAAAACACTTTTCTTTCGGTACGTGCGTTGATTGCATGATCGTATGACAATTTACCTTCCACTCTTGTAATAACCTTACAACAAGGTTCAGAGTATTAATCAATGAGTTAGCAACGGTGGCATAGAAATTTCTGGCAGTAGGCTTAATCCTCATCAGTTTTTGTTCAGTATGTACCATATCTCACGGATTTAAGAGCCTCCTTATATTGAAATGTTTATACGTGCTGACTGCAGAGTGTATTAACCTTGTGAATGAGCTAGGACTCTATACTTAATGTCTTTTTGTGACCAGAAATTTGACTGAATGTTGTAAAGTTCGAGGTCATCGAAGTTCACATTAAAATGGTGTCGAAAAGGCGTTCGGTAATTTGTTTGCCGTGTCTGCGCGATTCCCGTTGAACCTAACATTAACGGGCTGTCATGTTTCACCAGTGTACAGCTTGTGACAATATGAAAAATCCACCGTGTCTAAACGTTTGAACCAGTGCAGGTAAAGCTAAATTTGATAGGATGGACATAATCACAATTGGCGCTTTTCACTCTAACGTCTTCTTGAAGGTGCTTGCAACACTTACATCTTGGTTGAGATAAAGGTGTTATGTGGACAGCTGAATCAGGGCTTACTTTTTCATGCGCTAATGTGTCCTCACAGAGAGAAAAAAGAAAAGCAAATGAAAGGCAGAGAGGTTAACCAGGTTGCACCCGGTTCGCAATCCTACTCAGGGGAAGGGAGAAATTGGAGGGAAAGAATACGGAGAGAATGAAAGAGAGGACAAGGTCTACAATAGCACGCAACAGCAGCGCGCATAGGCGTACAAGCCGGGGGGCCAAAGAAGGCGCGAGCATCCCCCCCACTAGAAAAGTTGAGGGGGTTGAGCTCCCCTCCCCCCCTTACTTTTGACAGAGGTCGCACTTGGTTCAGGCTGGGAGGCACGCGGGCCCTTCGAGGTGCGGTATAGCTAGTAACGAGAAAAACAACCAGGGAGACTTTAACAGGTGGTATGGACAGATACGATTCCAAAGTGGCGCCATTAGTAGGTAGAGTCCGGGGCAGAAATAGACGTAGCCACGAGCCCCGAGCCAATTCAGACATAAGGTATATTAACATGCGGGGTGGCAGAAATAGGCTGAAGTGGGAAAAGATAGAAGAACAGCTAAGGGAGAAGACGACGATGGAATACGGTTTTGTAGAAACATATCTTAGGGACAACGAACAACCTCCTAAGAATCCGGGCTATGCATGTGAATATTGCAATAGAACAGAATGCAGCAGAAAGGAGGTGGTATTGGGGCATTCATTCATAAAAGTACCGACTGGCAAATGGTCAAGCAGGAGTGCAAGGAACATTTGTGGCTAAAAGGGAAAGGGCAGGGTAAATGAAACTCCTTGGTTTGGTGTACTTGTGGACGGGAGCAAAGGCTAGAGAAAAAAACCAGGCAATGGTAGAGTGTATAACATAGGACAATGAGAAATTAGGAGGAGAATACGAGATAATGATACTAGGAGATATGAATGCGCACATTGAAGATATAGATGGGTATACCGACCCAACAGGCAAAATGATCATAAATAAGTGTTAAATGCATGATTTGATCATTTGCAACAGTACCGAGAAGTGTGAAAAGCAAATAACATGGGAGGTAGGAAGGCTGCAGTCCACGATAGATTACGCACTGATGTCACATTGGATGTATGATAAGCTGAGGGGAATAAACATAGATGAAGGTGGCTCCAGATGTCTGGGTAGTGATCACAAACGTATCAAGCTGAGTTTTGGAAGAGCAGCGAAAGTGGAAAGCAGACAAGATGAGCAACTACAAGAAACTTTTTATTCAGAAAGGCAAATAGAAATAGCTACTAAACAAATCGAGAAAGTAATCACTGAGGATAATAGAACAGTGTGGACATACACGAATCTAATTAGACTGTTTGAGCTAGAGCTTGCTAGGGCATGTGACAAGTCACCCCGGAAAAGAAGACACAAACCCAAGAGTTGGTGGGAGGAGGAAGTTAAGAGAGCCATAGCAAAACGTCAGGAAGCCTCTAGGGAACACATACATGCTAATCAGCGGGGTGAACTGACAGATGATGAAAGCAAATAGGAAATATTTCTAAGCTGTAGAAGGAATGCATCCCTTCTGATCAATGAAAAGATTAGAAAAAAGGGAACTCATTGGCTAGCAGAAGTTTATAAAAAGATAGAAAGGCAGCTGCGAAATTTGGGAACCATCTAAACTCCCTGAGAAATGAGACGAGCCTAGTGCAGAGGTTTATAACTACAGCTCAACGTGCTAGGCTAGATGGGGACTAAGCTATTAAATATATAAGAACAGGAGTGACAGAAAAATTTCAACAGAGAACTGCTTTATGCACCGCTATAGACAAGGATGAAATAAGTGGCGCAATGACATAATTTTCACAACGAGAGTAGGAAAGGCCTGAGAACAGTGTTCCTACTAGTACATCAAGAGGCTCAGATGGCATTCCAATTATGCTTATAAAGACATTAGGTCAAAGGCTAAGGAGGCTTTGAGAGAGGCAGTAAGTAAAATAATAATCGATGGTGAAGTCGCGGATGGATGGAAACTTAGCAGGATGAGCATAATCTATAAAGGAAAGGGGGACAAAGCTGACATAAACAACGCCCGTCCTATAACAGTGACATCAGTGGTCTACATGCTGGTGATGCAGATTATAAAGGAAAGACTGCAGGCATGGATAGAGGACGAGGGGGTGTTGGGGCAACTGCAGAATGTGTTTCGGAAACACAGAAGGTTGGAAGAGAATCATTTTCACTCACGCAGTGCATCAAAATACCATAAAAGGAACACGGACCCCTGTGGCTAGCATTTTTTGATATCATGGGAGCATACGATAGCATGGTTCAAGTGGGCTTGCGGGGAATACTGGACAGACTAGGTGTGGAAGATGGAGTCACTAATCTATTAAAAGAAATTTAACAAGGCAGTTGTAAAGTAGGAAACACAGGTATTTAAGCCTGCAGAGGTAAGACGGGGGTTTCGGCAGGGGTGTGTTCTGTCACCCTTGTTATTCATGATGTACCTACAAGGATAAGAGGCCAAATTAGAGGGAAGGGGACTGGGCTTCGACCTCTCTCTCATCAAACAAGGAAAACTCATTGAGCAGGCACTACCAGCATTGATGTACGCAGATGATATAGTGCTAATTAATGGCCGACGACAAGAAAGATTTGCAGAGATTGATGGACATCTGTGGCAATGAGGGAGATAGGTTGGATTTCAGATTCAGTAAGGAAAAATCAGCAGTCATGATTTTTAATGATAATTAAGGTAGTGAGCTTAGAATACAGGAGCTCACGCTAGAGATAACAGATAAATACAAATATCTAGGCGTATGGATAAGCAATGGGGCCGAGTACCTAAGAGAAAACAAAACATACGTGACGACTAAAGGTAACAGGAATGCAGTAGTAATGAAAAACAGGGCACTGTGGAATTAAAATAGGTATGATGTTGTGAGAGGAATATAGAAAGGGGTCATGGTTCCTGGTCCGACGTTTGGCAATGCAGTCTTGTGCATGGGATGAGAAGTTCAACAAGATTAGAAATTAGGCAACGTGGAATAAGTAGGTTTGCCTTAGGAGCTCACGGTAATACACCAAATCGGGGAGTAAAAAGTGATATGGGATGAACATCATTTGAGGGCAGGGAAGCTAGAAGCAAGATAACATTTGATAAGCTATTGATAGAAATGGGCGAGGAGCGTTGGGCTAGGAAGGTATTGAGCTACTTGTACCTGAAGAATGTCAATGCGAAGTGTAGGAAGCGAACCATAAAATTGACTGGTAAATACTAGGAAGACAGCTGGGGGTCAAAGGAAAAATATTTATGGGTTAAAAAGAAGGTGAAGGAAGCTGAGACCGATATGCGGAGAATTTGCATGATTAGCAAGTCCGCACAAGAGATCTATCAAACTTTTGAACAGAAAATTGCCAAGGAAAGGATCTATCATTATACTCGGGGTAGTTGTCTACTGTTTCAGGCCAGGACGGCAGTATTGCGAACCAAGACATATCGGGCCCAATACGAGGGGGTAGACACGGGTTGCAGTGCGTGTGGAGAGGAAGAGAAAACTGCCCAAAACTTGATAATTTTCTGTAAAGGCTTCACCCTATAGTTCAGGATGAGGGCGCAGAGTTTTTCAAAGCACTGGTGTTTAGGAACAGGGAGGGCAAAATAGACTTTAAGTGGGCAGAATTAACTACAAGGAGGTTCTATGATTGGTGGCTAAAGTCAAGGCGCGAATAAGTATTGGAAACTTCACTGCGGGGTGCTAGTCCTCGGCCTCACTATTTGAAGGAAAAAAAAATATATCTAGCTGTTGGTTCACTAAGTACTATGGCTTGGTGGCGTTAGACACCGCCCGATCTAAAGGGTACAGCCATATCAATCCATCCAATCCATATATGGGGAACCAACAAGTAAGGCGAAGTTTTCTATGACAACAGTGATTATGTTGTGTATTTTCCTTCTCCCGTCAGAACAATTATGTTCTGTGGGAGAAGGAAAATGTTACGAGGCAATGATACAATATAGTGAAATTTCGCTAATGTTTCCACTATGATGATTTTTTGTAGGTTCTTTGCGGTGCGAGTCGCCTATGTGACGTTTTTGCGTCTTGCGCTATATAGTATTGCAGAGGAGGCAAGCGCTACACAGCGGCCCCATATTATTACATCACTTGCTCATGCTTTTACTCTGCTGTGAGTTGTTGATGTAGTTACGGACAAAAACAAGCAAACTTTTTGTGGACTGGAAATAAAGTTCCTTCGAAAAGGTTATATCATCACCACTTCTCTGTCGAAGCTGTTGTGAGCCGATGAGGGGAACGAATTGTTTTTGATGTTTAAGTTTTTCCGCTTTGAAATGCCCAAAATTGTTTCCGCTTTAGTATCTGATAAACCTGATCAGCCCTTTTTATGGTAACTTGAAAACTGGAGCTTTAGAGGCAGTAAAACGCAAAAGTATTACGTACCTTTACGAAGGTAATTGAATATTTACTGTGCATTGATAAATGAGGAAGATAAAATATGGTCATGGCTCTGTAGTAGAACTGCTTGTCACGCGGAATGCCTACTGTTTATTTTCACTAGAATTGAAAATTTTTGCTAATATAAATACCAGCATCTAACTCGCATTTTCAATCACGCACAACGCCGAGTTTTTGCTCATAGCAGATGAGCCCAACATTGACGCCCACGCCGTGGTCTACCTCTTCTTTCTTTATTTTTTATGACGGGCTATTAGGAACTATTGCATTGAAAACTACACCTCACCTAAAGCTAAATGCAAGCAGAAACGTATGTTCAGCCCCGCTTATTGCTGAATCCAACTGCAGCGTGGCATTTTCATGTACTTACTGCCGTTCTTGTGCCTCTCGATGATTCTGAGTCCGTGGCATTACTCTTGCTCGCCGCTTTTATCGTGGACGCAACTGGCCCTACTCAAAAGAAAATATTCTATCGGTGTTAGCTTTCTGTTCTCTTGGATTCTGTGCGCAGCTGCTGATCACCACAGGACGCGTGGACTAAGAGGAAGCAAGAGCCAAGTACAGTGTGAGTCTGATATTTCACTCACCTGATCTTTAACGTCGGTTCAGTGCCCACCTGTCCAGATTCTTCGAGACCACATGCTTTGTGTGCTCTTTTACGGTGCGAAGGAAGGTCTTTGGCTGCTATTTTGTTCAGTGACAGTGTGCAAATGTCGATGGCGGGGATTTACATGAAATCGGCGCCGCATATATCTAATGTGTAGAGCAAATGCTATTTCAACTTGATTACATGGTAGGCCGCTTTCTGATAGCTGACTTCCTGGCGTTGGTTGTTGTGGCTGTGAGCACGTCGTACGCCAATAGTGGCAAACATAGCTAGATAGTGGATATTCTTGCATGTGCATTTTATCAACCCTAGAAGTTTCGGCAACATTGAAGAAGACAAGGCATGCTGAGTTTCCTTGCTGTAAATGTTTCTACAGCTTTATTTATTCAACATCCATACAGCGCCAAACGTTACCATTTGACGGGTGCATTCTGTGTGCTGAAATGTATATCACACACTGGATTTATTTTCGAGATACCCACATCCCCTGTGTAGCAGTGCAATGTATAGGGGATGACTTTACGAGGAGAACCACCAATACTGGTGAAAGGCTAGATAGGTCAAAAAACGATAAAAAATAATGTTGCATGTAACGTGCAACTAAAAAAAGCGACACGGCTAAATTTTACGTAAAACTTTTAAATTACAATTCTTCTTACTCGTGCATAAGTTTAAGGGTAAACACACTGTATTGAAAATCACAGTTGTTCACAAAAAACCCCATTACCTAGGCAGTACTCATTCAATTGTAATGTAGTTTCTGTAAAATTACGTCGACCAAAGTTCACCCGTCATGTACTTCCACTTCATTAACCGAACATATGCTTCGAAAGTTCAGATATTTATGTTCTGTCTTAAAAGCAGCTGGGGCTCAGAAGCTGGAAGGTGTCTGTTCTTAATGACAGAAATGGGCAAGAAACGGAAAAGCAGGAAGAGCAAAAGCGGAAGCTTTGCTCTCTTTGTTTCCGTAGATTTTAAGGCAGAGTGAGGCAGAGCCACCGCCTTCTTGTCTAAGAAATTTTCGCTATTGTCCACTAAACTCGTGGCCATCGCCCGTGAGACGTTTGGTCACTCTCCGAGTTCGTGACATTGACCGGCATCTCATTTCCACGTTTACTTCGGAGAGTGCTGGATCGTGTCTCAGTATTTCCAGGTGTTGCCCAGTGCCTCAGCTCCTGGTCATTTATCTATTCGCACCCAACACTCACCTGATGCCATACAGCCAAATCAGCGGACTTAACACAGTTCTTCGTTTAAGGAGAGACTTGAAGTATTTATAGTTGAAGGGGGAGGGAGGGTGTCATAATCTAAGGGTGAATGCAAGTCTGCTCCGTACTTCTAAGATGGATTAAAGGTGTAGGGCCATGGAGGTCCTCCGTTATAATTGACGCTTAGGGCCCCTTGTGTTGCCTTACAAAATTGCTCACTTTCCGCCTTTAGCCCCGGCAAACCAAGGGCCGAAGTTGGGCCATTATTAAAAGCACGCCATCTGTAATTTTTTATTGATACCAGTTTGGGTGAAGCTTCGAGTACCAACACTTACCGTTTTTTGTCACTGTTGGGGCAGAAGGTGTTTGTTGTTCGAATATAATTATGACCAGTATATTGTTGCCGTGTACATTTGCGCAGCGACATCGTCACATCCCACAGTGTGATAGGAGTGACGAAAGTGACATTTGTGCCGCAATACTGGGTAGACAACAGCGCACAGAAATATGAGCGAAAGGCACTCATAGCACCCTTCGATTGCGTACCTTCTTGCCGACCAGAACGATCCCCAGCCCCTCCTTTTGTATACTGACATTCTGCAACACATCTGGCTGAGTAGACGCACTCTACTACCACCTGATCCTGAATTAGATAAGGCATCGCAGGTCGCATGGAGATGACTACAATCATCAGCATTTTCCAATCCTTATGTATTGTCAAAGATAGACATTTCAATGTACAATACGCTGTGTAAATTCAGTCCCCAGACGGCCACTTTATTCCATATGGTCTGGGAGTGCCAAAAGAATACCAGTATATCGGATCATCATAATCGTATACACTAGTTGAGTTGGAGGCAACCCTGTCCAGCTCTGATCCAGTGCAGCAACAAGCCCTGGTTAACCGTGTCCGGGCGACAGAAAGAACCAATAGTCATCCGAACTAGGAGGTTCAACCACTATAGTGACCTGTTTATTACGAATAAATACTTTATTGATTGATATGTGGGGTTTAACGTCCCAAAACCACCATATGAACTTGAGAGACGCCGTAGTGAAGGGCTCCGGAAATTTAGACCACCTGGGGTTCTTTAACGTGCACCCCAATCTGAGCACATGGGCCGACGGCATTTCCACATCAATAAATATCATGTTTATTCTATCTCTTCGCTCATGAAGTCGGTGTGTTTTAAGAAATGTGTCCAATATTTTTAAAAACTCACAGAAAAGAAGTATCTGCGTACTACTTGTGGTGTTGCCTTTCCTGTGGCAGAATGCATCTTCAGATGTCTACAAACAATAATTTTGGCAGTAATTATAAGAATTACCACAATGAACCTTTTTGACAAGTGGTAATAGCCGGTTGAGTCAAATGGACGAATTGAAAATGTTCCTACGAATTCTTCATAGCCACCTTGAAATTTTTGAAAAGCGCCCACTGATAATCATCGTGGAGCGATGCATAAAGCTTAATTTAGCTGGGAAAACTGAAACCGACGCACCTAACAGCGCATCTACAATTCACTTCAACAACGCCTTCAGTGACGGCACCACGCCTCTCGTAATCATATGGTGGTTTTGGGTCGTTAAAGCCCGCAAGTGAATCATCAATCAATCTCAGTGACGACACTGTTTCCGTCGCCGTTATCAACCTTCAATTGAACACTTCGCTTCGAGGACGCTTATCGACGCTGGCTTATTCTCCTCCAACCGAGGGAAAGAGTATCTATCCATCCATCCATCCGTCCATCCATCCATCCATCCGTCCATCCATCCATACGTCCATTCGTCCATCCATCTGTCTGTCTGTCTGTCTGTCCGCCCGTCCGTCCGTCCGTCCGTCCGTCTATCTATCTATCTATCTATCTATCTATCTATCTATCTATCTATCTATCTATCTATCTATCTATCTTATCTATCTATCTATCTATCTATCTATCTATCTATCTATCTATCTATCTATCTATCTATCTATCTATCTATCTATCTATCTATCTATCTATCTATCTATCTATCTATCTATCTATCTATCTATCTATCTATCTATCTATCTATCGATCTATCTATCTATCTATCTATCTATCGATCTATCTATCTATCTATCTATCTATCGATCTATCTATCTATCTGTCTGTCTGTCTGTCTGTCTGTCCTGTCTGTCTGTCTGTCTGTCTGTCTGTCTGTCTGTCTGTCTGTCTATCTATCTATCTATCTATCTATCTATCTATCTATCTATCTATCTATCTATCTATCTATCTATCTATCTATCTATCTATCTATCTATCCGCTTTTAGCTCTCTTTCATCATTTTTATGTTCTCGCACGCATTGATGGGCGCAGGGTTCGCGTTAGGGGGAGGGCGAAAATTCGTTGTAGCCCCTTCCCCCCGTTATCACTGGGCAGAATTTCTCCCTCGGCCTATCCTCCTCCCCCCTGGGCCTCTCATGCACACGCCTATGACCGCAGGCTCTTGAAGAAATTCTTCAGTTCCCCTATGTACAAAATATACAAAGTACTATGCACTAGAAGATACGCTGTAGCAGAAAGCGATAGTCAGCACATGGCATGTACAAACCAGCTCCCAAGCAACAATTTGCCCTAGGCAAGAGGTCAGCGAGAGGTCTGGGACTGACTGCGAAGTAGTTAGGCCAACCTTGACAACCAACGTAGGGCCGGTATTGGGGATTGACATTGGCCTCACAACGGCCGACGTCGGGACAGAACGTAGGTCCGACAGCGTTGACCGACGAGCCCGAGTGCGTACCGCTCGCGGGTTGACCATGGTTCGACCTTACATAAGCGTTGATTCACCGTCGGTTGCCAGCATGCCTTGCTCTGCTTCTTTTTTTGTATTTTGTTCACATGACATTGGCTCGGTGCACACGTAAGACGAGGTTAAACGCCTCTTGAGCATGTAATTGTTAGGGTGTAAGTACGTAACGCACAATAAAAGAAAAACGAACGTAAGCTTCCTCACCCATTATGTTTATTCCGCAGTTGTTTAAGTCCACTATGTTTTCATGCAAAATTTTTCGCATGGAACGATTTGCAGCAGGCCTTGTGCGACCCAACTAAGCACTCGATGGAGTGGTATTCCTGCCAGATTATTGCTCTCTTTCAGTCAATTTTTATGCTCTTTGCCGTCAATACGTATTCGGTATGCGAAGTTTTACCACCAAGATGTGAGGCTTCTATCGTTCTGTTATTTTCTGGGAAGAAGTGAAAAAAACAAACAGAATGATTAATACTTAGAGAAAGGCAGACTATTCGAATGACTAGTTGCGCAGTCACATGCGTTTATAAGCTCTATTCGCGAAATTCGGCAAAACATTTTGGGGACACAAATAAGAAAAAAAACTGTGCACTTACAATAAGTATGTCATAGTGTTGAGATTCTGAAACGTGCCCGAAGCCCCCGAGCACATAGTTTGCCCCTAATATTGTTACGGAGATAAAGTAAAGGGAGAGGAAGGATACAAGGAGCTCACAGGTGAGCGAGTGGGCCGATCAGCCATTGTGACGCTTGCATGCGGTTTTTCCTCTGTAAATGCATCTTGTACAGAAGTCACCAATCCCGTAACATATGTCGCAGGAAAACAAACAGTACAACAAATGAATTGAGGAGAATGCATCTTACCTTCAAGGCGGGCCAGGCAACTATTTTTAAGTCGGCGTTTACAGACCATTTGCAACCTAATGTAACGTGAAAAAATTGGGTATG